GGGCAGCGGCCAGAGGGGCCTGTTACATGGTGGCCGCGGGGCCGCCGACTTTCCGCCTAACCGTCGTCCTGAGGCGGGACTGAGGAGAGCGGGCCCGGGGAGAGGCCTCGGCCTGAGGAGAGCAGGCCCGAGGAGAGGCCTAAGCCTGAGGAGACCGGGCCCTTTCCTGAAACGGGTGCCCGGAGGGCCGCCCGCGTCCCCGGCCAAGAGGAAAAGCTTCAAAGCGTGTTTAGTTGGCGCAGCTCCTGCGCTTTGAACGCCAACACTGATTAAAAATAAAGGCGCCTGTCTGGCAGCCCGAGATGAACAGCTTTCTGCAGGGCTGCTGCTGCTTTCAAAGGCAAACCGCCTCTGTTGCAGAGCTGTATTAAAAAAAAAAAAATTAAAAAATAATGACTGTAGGTGGACGCAAAAGGAGAGGCAAACCCTAAAGCAATTTTTGTCCTGCGTTCAGCTTTTATTAGGTGAAGCACTCATAGAGGAACACTGCAAATAGGTGTTGCTGGAAGAAAAGGCAGAGCAGCATCTGCTGATGCTGCAGACATGAATACAGCTGTTACATTACTAAGACTATCTTTGGTTTAACAAATTGTGACTTCCACATTTCCTGGATCTTGCTTATCACAGGGATTGCAAATAGACAAATGTTCTTTAGGACAGCAGCAGGACACAGAAATCCCTCTGAAACAGCATCTGTACCACATGCAGTTTGAGCTTTGTTAGGTCCTTACAGTAATTAATGGGGGCAGAAGGAGCATTAATGTCGATTGTACAGTAAAGTGCCTTTTTTTCTCCCCCAGAATTTCAGTCTCAGCGTGAGCGAGGGTGCCGTGCAGCCGGCAGCCGCTCTCGGTCCAGAGAAGGAGCGTAGTGCCATGTTAGCGGCAGGATGGGTGCCCAGCCTAGGGAAAAGATGACACGCTGGTGTTAAAATTAGACATTTCCTGTTTTCGCTGATGTCTAGAGATCACGTCATAACTCAGGGAGGGAGGAGAGACGTTCTGGGAAATGCATTGTTTCAAAGGAGGAGTTACCTAAAACCAACTTTGACAGAAATAAAAATAAAAGAGCTAATGTTTACAGGTGCCATTTTGTAGTCAAATCTGATTATGTTCAGAGTGCTGCTAACAGTGAAAATTCATTGTTATCTGCAATAGATTCAGCATAGAAAGTAGATTCACCTGTGAGTAAAAATGGCATTGCTGTAAGTGTAAAAGCAAGCAAAAAAAACCCAAAGGCCCAGTCCAGTGTCCTTTTTCTGACGATGCTGTTAAGGTATTTTTTTGGAGAGCAAGCTCTCCCGTAATCCTTACAAACAAAAGCAACTTTATGTCAGAAGCAAGGCATAATCTGGAAGTCTGACCCATGAACACCATCAGTTCAGATTATAGAAAAGGAAACACACACATCGAGGGTGGTGTCAGAAAGAAATGTTTAAAAAAATGTTTAAAGTGTTTAAAAACGTTTAAAAAAACATTTTAAAAACACAGGATGTTCAAAACAGTCTCTTTTATTCAGCAAATGAAAGCATCGTACCATAAGGTTGAGGGGAAGGAATTTTCCACTTGAATGACTACATTTAACAATGTAAGTTTGCAGCTATAACTGATAGTTTGTGTTGAGGAATATAAATCTATACCTTCTATGGAAGACATGGACATTTCTGTTGAGCTCTCTGGTTCAGAGGGGTTTGGTAACTGTCATTTTCATATGTATGATAATATCTAAGTGAAAAAGGAGAAAACAGTGAACTGTATTGGTTTGTAAAAGAACACTTGGGTTGCTTTCCACTTAGGAAGAGAGTCTTGAAATAAAACCACCACGCCATCAATTCCAGGTTGATGTGCCTTGTACGGTTTGCAAGCATGAGCAAAAATGCAAAAATGCAAGACCCAGGCACACTCAGACAAGGGTATAACGCATATAAAACTTGGGACTTGGCAACAAAGGACATGAGTGAACATCCAGAAGACCGCCTTACCCTTGCTTCTGCTTAGAAATAATTTTCCAGACGATTCCAGCAGCCAGGACCAGCAGGACTCCAGCAGCTGCGACTCCTGAGAGAGAAGAGCGCGTATTATTCTCACTGTGCGTTTTAAAGCATGTTGGCACAAAAGACATATCTTCAAAGTGAGCAGAGGGAAACGATGCCACTGAGGCCACTGCGTAAAGCTAAAGACCCACCCACAAAAATGACTCTGAGCTGCTTACCTAGGCCTACGGAACCAGACTTGTGTGATGCTGAAGGGAAGAGAAAAAGAAAAATCAGCAAGCTATTCTAACAAAAAAGAGCGTTTCTCAGCTGTAGTTAATCACTTTATCAATAAAGCTTTTACTGCTAAGGCCTACAATACAGGATTTCTTAAAAACCACACCATTATATACGTTTTTATAAATACAGAAAAACATTTGCGTGTTTAAAGTACATTTGCCTGTTTCCGTTTGATCTTTGCTTCATTCACATTTCACTCACTCAGTTTACAGGCTGGGACAGGAGGGTCCCAGCTGAAGTCCTCTTGGCACTGAATCTGACTGATGCCTTCCAACGTGTAACCATCATCACATTCAAGAGTGATGTTAGTCCCAGAGCGATAAGTATTTTGTTTTATGGCTTTCTTAACACCTTGAACTTCTGGGAATACACATCTGATCTCTGAAATCAGAAGTAACAAAAAAAAGGACATTTAATGAGAGGGAACATAAAATACAAGAAATACAACTATGGGTTATCTAAGACATTGATCTTGAATTCTTTCTGAATATAACTAGGAATTAATTCTTATTCCAGAGGGTGATTCCTTTCTTTGGGGCTGCATAAGAGGGTTGGTGTCTCACTCCCACATGTGAGCATTTGTACAGATCAGCTCCTCCACACTGACGCAGCAGACGGAAAATGGGGTGTGGTAGGGGTACCCTGGGAGAAGCCTGCCAGGAAAAGAGATTTTTCTGATACTGGGCTACCAAAACATTTGGAGAAGGGTGTAGCAGGGAAGAATCCTGTGGGAGCTTTAGAGCCAACTGCCTATAACCCACTTCTTGTTTATAGAAGTCCCTCGCCCTTCAAAGATGTCACCAGTCATGTTACTTATCAATAATGAGCTTATTAATTAGTCTGGCCATCTAAGCTATTTATACCAATTTCAGTTAAGTGAATTAGTTGCTTCAGTTTAAGTGTCTAATCACCTTTGACAGTCCAAGCACAAGAATTCTGGAGGAGAAGGTTCTCAGTGGGGACCAAAGGGGTAATGTCAACATGTAACTTTTAGCCTTTGTTCCACACTCTTTTTTTCGTATTTATTTTTCCTTTCACACATAATAGTTACTAAGGACACTTCAAAACCACGAGAATTTGGAATGACAGGGAGAATTTTTCTGTGTGACTGCTTCCTTAAAGAGCCTCTGACTTATTTACATAAGCATTTCGGACGTTATTTCCTCTCATTGTTTCAACTCTTGAGTCACTGGGGTGGGGGCAACTCCACCAAGGAAGCACCCCGTGTGGGTAATGAATTTATTCCGGTGAACGTCCAGTTTTCTGTGCAGGAACACCCCTACTAAGAATCTTGTGACATTCACGAAATCACTGTTAGTCAATGTGGCCCGATGACTGACCTTCACAGTGAGCTACACGGAAGTACCAGGTCGCAGATACAGAGGCATTTTCTGGGAGGGGAACAGTCAGGCTCAGGTGTAATCTATAGACCCTCCATCAGAGACAACTTCTCTGATGTAATCACTTCCTTTGTTTCCTGTCAGTGATAACTGGGGAGTGAGAGACACGGAAAGGGAAGGGAAAAAGTTTCTACTCTTCCATTAAAAGCAAAAGGGTTTTGGTGGAGGAAAAGTTACCACACAACTCATTCATAGCAGTAAGAGCAGAGATGGAAAACATGCAAGAATTAAGGTTGCCTTCCAGAATTTGTGGTTCTGCCACCATGGATTCCAAAGAACATGAGCAAACCAAGCACTAACACACCTTTGCACCGAGGAGGAGGCTGGCTCCAGGTTCCTGACAGTGTGCAGTTGATGAAAGCGTTCCCAACGAGCGCATAACCAGGATTGCAGCTGTAGGATACAGATGCTCCATAGGAAAAAGTGTCAGAGATGTTGCCTTTGAGCTTCCCGTTGGTGATGCTTGGAGGATGGAGACACTTCACAACTGGAAAGTCGGAGAAAGACAAACAATGGCATTGACATGAGGATCCTGATGGACTGCCAGAGAGTAGCTAAGGCACTGTACCTTCACAGACTTGATTGTTCCCCTTTAATTTCTTCACCTAGGCTCAACAACTGATTTTGTAACCCTGGAACTCCATCAGGCTTTGGAAATGGATATAAACTTGATCTTGTTCTTATCACTCACTTTGTAGTAAAGGACTCAAATTTAGTCCTTATACAAACCTTTCCCTAGGGCAAGTCATGTTAAATGTCCTTTCTTAGCTCTCTGCAACAAAAACACACCTTGACAGGCCGGAGGAGGATGGCTCCAGGCTCCAGATTGTGTGCAATAAATGGTTGCTGCCCCGATGAGAGAGAAGCCGGGCTCACAGATGTAGCTTACAGATGTCCCAGGAGTGAAAAATGCTTTTGCTGGGCCACTGTGAGACCCGTGGGTGATGTCTGCAGGCTCGGAACAGTGCAGCACTAAAAAGAGAGAAGTACAGATCAAAACAGAGCTCGTAGAGGCAAGAGGGGAAACTTTGGAGCACCTGTGGATGGCTGTACGCTCACTCCCACAGCGCTGAATCCAGCGCACAGCCCAACCCTCTGCACTCACTTCACCCCCCGTCATCTATAAAGCATACGGCATCACACACATTCCTTTGCACAAAGGAACGTTGGTCAGCATCATCTTTCCTGGCATATCAGATAAGAAGGGTGATTAGCTCATATCTATACTGGGAATTCCACAGTTGTAAGACCATCTTATTACAACACCCATACAGGTTCCTTACGGCTGGCAAAGCTGGCCTACGCTCATTTTTAAGGTGTTCATACTGAGAAACTGAGGCACCAGATACAGCAGCAATAAGAATGGGACAAATTAGGATAGTTGGGTGTTCAGATCTAAACACTAGACTCTGGATTCCTCTCACCTCGTGAACATCTTACAACACACTACCAAGAGTGGAAAGGTCAGAAAGGAGAGCCATCTAAGGACACATAACACATGCTTTCCTCTTTCACAGGGGAGTGGAGGATCCCATGTGCCCCCAGGCTGGCTCTGAGACTTGTGGCTGTCTTTTGGGACTTCATCAGTGTTGTGTTCAATTGTAATGATGTCTCCAGGCCTACAGAGGGACTCCAATCTGATTGCTTTTCCCTTCCCAACTCACACAGCCAACTGTGGGCAGCGAGGCTACACAGAACCCTTTAGACTGCGAAACTTGTGCAGGACAGAGAGGAGCATTTGGCCACAGAGACCTTATTATTGGCCACAGAGACCTCATCTTTTCTTTAGTTGTGGAGTCTGATGAAGCAACAGCTCGTTTCAGCCAGTCCTTAGCCAAATATCACTATAGGTTTAATGCATTTAGAAAGTTGAGAAGATAAGGAAGGGGACGACACCGGGCTCCATATATTGTACAACAAACAGACTTACTCCCAGTGAGGGAGAAGGCATGTTTGCAGCAGTGGTGCACAAGTGCTTCTACATCAAAAGTGTCTGAGAAATGAGAAATGACTGCTGTGTTCCCCATTAGCAAAGCCTAGAGGAGGCAGACACTTCGCTACTGAAAGAGGAGAGGGAGAAGGTGACCTTAAATTATAAAAAAAAGTGATAACAAGAGAGTGAAATGTGCAGTTAACCCACTTCACTGCAAAAGGCAGGACAGGAGGAGTTAGCATTTAGTACATCTTGCCTCTTCTTATAATAGACCTACCTGGTTTCATTGTGGTATCAGGATGATGATAGTGTTCTGCCACTCCATCTAGATATAGCATGAAGAGTTTAAAATACACATTTGGTTGAGCAAATACAATGCACAAATTTACCCTCATTTTCTATCATCCTGCCTTTATATTTCCAGCAAAAATTTCACTCCTCTCTGATAGTCAGTGTCCTGCCATGAAGCTACCAAATTTCTCATTTTCAGGAAATGAAGAGTACATGGATTATGGATTGCAACAAGCAGGGTGAGGAGAGTGCAAATCATGCTTATACTCACAGCTTTACCCAAAACCTGGCTCATCTCCTGTGCAAGAAGAGAGGCATGAATAAAAGGAACAATTTCTGGTTTCTCCTTAAAGCAGTTGGAGCGGACAAGAAAAATGAAGCCAACTTTGGCTCCAGTGGGCGGGTGGGAGCAGTGGGGGAGGAATCTGCAGTGCTAACAGTGCGGGCGCTGACACTTACCCCGCTCACAGAGTGGTACCGGTGGATCCCACGTTCCATCAGCTCGGCACTGGGCCGTGCCATGGCCTCGCAAGGTGAAACCTTTATGGCACTTAAAGGTAACAGTGTCTTTGTATGCGTAGTGATACTTGAGAACAGATACTCTCCCATTCTGGAGTTGTGGGACCGGACATACCACCTCTGAAAAATGAATACATGATCTCAAAGAGGGAGCCATATGTATGCTGTAATTGCTTCGTATCTGAAGTCCATCCTTAACGTGCCACTGCTCAGAGGAGTTTCACAGGTAGTACTCGGAGACTCACAGAAGAATAATTTCAAGAGCTGAGGGCTTTTCAGTTCCTTTAGGTACCCTAGGGTTACCACCTTAGAGTATATATAAACGTGGTTTTGTGCCTGTACCCAGAATAATGCAAAAACATTCCAACAAGTATATTAAATGGTGTAGAAATCTGTCAGTGCTGCTAGTTGTTTACTAGAGACTGCTTTACTATACCAACCTTCCAAAGGAATTCCATCTGAAAGAAAGACTAATTGCAACAATCAGCTCCCGCAAAACAGCTTTGTGTGTTGAATAACAGCACAGCATTTGGAAGATCCCGGTTCAATTTTACTCAATATCCCACTCTTCTACTGCAAGACACATTTCTTCCTTAATTTATTATTTATGTTTGTGAAACAAAAGGAACAAATCCCTGCAGGCATCTCACAACTCTTCATTCTACATAATTCTGAAAGATCAAAAGCTGGCGTCTGGAAGATTATTAGAAGAAGCCAACCAAGCAAGCAGAACAGAACAATCCTAGAGAAAGATTATCTTTAAAAGGTCTTTTTCCTCAAGGTTCTATTTATTTTAAGGAAATGGCACTATTTAATTTTAAGGACTTAGTTTGGCAGTTCTGGGCCAGATCTAGTGGTGACCTACTTACTCTGACAAACGGGAAGAACACCGCTCCATGCGACATCTGCTCCAAAAATCTCACATCGCCGGTGAGACTGTCCAACCAGTCGGTGCCTGGAGTTGCACAGAAAGAAATCCCAGTTGGTACCAGGTCATTCAGCTTGGATTTCGCACTCCCACTCTGACACTACCCCCAGTGGTTTCCTTCTGCAGCCTCCTGATTCTGGCTGCTCCCGAGGTGATTCTGTTGGTTTGACACACGGGAACGAAGGACACCAAGTTCCTTCTCCACAGATCCAAGAGGAACAGCAATGATCCCAAATTACTGTGGATTAGATTGGTCAGGTGCTAAGTCAGGACTCAGAGCCAAGTGATTTCCAAACTGCTGGAGCCTCCTCGCAGCACGCGCTCGCTTGCGCTCTCAGCTCCTCCTGGGTGGCTGTTGGAGAAGGCAGACTGAAACCCAAGTTTGCAAAGTAATGTATTGAGCACAGGCAGAGAAACACGAGAGGTGCTTCTCCCTTTCCCGAGCAGGCAACTGTGGCATAACTGGAACCAAAACGGAAATTCTGACTTGCTTGGGAGAACGGCCCACGCAGAGGGGTGGGCGCTGAGCCTTTACTGTAAGATGCCCAACACCGAGCTCAGAAAGTTGAGTCAGCAAAGGCAGCGTGGGACTCACCCTTCTTCACACGTGTAGCTCACTGTTGACCCAAACCCGAGATCTGTCAGAATAACTCTGCCATTCTTTGGTGCTTCTGGGTATTTACACTGTTTCCCTGGGGAAGAACAAGGCTGAGTTTACACTCATCTCTTGCAGTTTTGTACTGCGCTATGAGAAGGTATCTTAAGGATCTGTCCACATTCAGACACCAATAAAGATGTGATTTTTAAAAGGTCAATAGCTGCCCAAACTATGTGACTAGTGAAGCCATGTATGAATCATTTTTTAAAGAATTGCTTTCAGAAACCCACAAATGTAGCTTAGACAATTTTCAACAACCGACACCAAACTGATTGAGCTATTCACTTTTACAGAACGTTAGCGCTTCAGACCACGTGTGGTTTTTGAGGCATGTCAGAGTTGGGGGTACTCCAGGGTGTCTCACGTATCCCGGCTGGCAGCGGTATTGCACCGTGTTCCCAACAGGAAACTCTGTCAGGTTTTTGTATTCCGCAGTTAGCACAGCAAACGTTAAGTTTGGAGGTGCTCCACAGCCACCTATCAGGAAAGAAAACACAGGAAAAAACAGGGATATCAGCTACACAAAGTTGTTTTAAAATGTACATTAAGTACGCATAGATAAAAGTCTACAAGCAGAACTGAAAACAAAAGGGAAGGACTGAAGAATTCAAAATTTGGGAAAGAAAAGATGCATCCACAGGCTTTCAATGGCAAAAATTCCCAGGCTCTCCATAACTCCCGTCTGGGAGCGCCAGTATACCTGCACAGCGCGGAGGAGGGAGGCTCCAGTTCCCAGAGTCGGTGCAGTAGATCGAAGGCTCTCCCAGGAGGCTGTAGCCAGGGTCACAGCTGTAATTTACGGCCATCCCAGGAGTGAAAACCTCCAAGCCCTGGCTGCTGTGATTTCCTTTGTCAATATTTGGAGGTGAAGGACATTGCAGCACTAAAGAGAGAGGACAAAAAGAAAATGAAAAAAGTGCATGGAGAGGGTAACATGCAGGAAGGGTGCACACACAGCGCCACCAAAATGCACAGAGCATCCTGCATGAGCTGGAATCCTGCTGAGACCCGAGGGTGTCCCTGGACGTGCCATCCCCCCTCCCCACGCCAGTTCTGCAGGTTGGCAGGTTTGGCGGCTCCAGGAATCCGCCAGCACGGGAGGGACGCTCGGCCAGCCCCGGGGCCACGGGGAGCCGCGGCAGCAGCCGGCCCCCCCCGCCGCGCGGGGGGAGTGGGTACGGGAGGCTCCAGTGCCCCGAGGCCGTGCAGGAGACGGAGGGGTCTCCGAGGAGGGAGAAGCCGGGCTGGCAGCTGTAGCTCACGGACATGCCGCTGGTGAAGTTTGCCCCGAGCTCCGCGCTGTGCGTGGCGTGGGCGATGACGGGAGGCGGAGGACACGGCAGCGCTAATGGGGCGGAGGCGGAGAGGGGCGTTTTAGTGATTTTGCCCGACGGAGGGGCACATGGAACGCCGCGACAGACTGTGACGCCTGAAGTGACGCGAGCGAGGCAGAGCGTCACCTCGGCCCAAGGACGGCCCTCAGCATCCGCCCTCTAAGCCCCCCCGTGCCCCACTCACCCGGCTCGCAGGTGGGGACAGCGGGCACCCAGCGGCCATCGCGCTGGCACTTGGCTTGACGGCTGCCCCGCAGCACGTAGCCGGGGTGGCACTGGAAGGTGGGGGTGTCCCCAGGGTGGTACTCAGCGCGCTGTTCTTCACCCCCATCTCCATTGG